ACTCTCACAGTGCCTCCCTTCACCCAGGTGTATAAATGGGTACCAGCAATTTAATGCTGGGGTAACCCTGCGATGGACTGGAATCTCATCCAGGGGGGAGTAGAAATACTCCTAGTCGCTTCATGCTACAGAAACCGGAGTTAAGCACCGGCCTAATGGGCCACTAGTCTCATAAACAGACTTTACCTACCTACCTTGTCTGATATCAGGCAGATGGAAGACATTAATGGTACATACAAGTAGACTATTGTCCTATCAAAAGGTTTATTTTTAGCCTCTTTGAGGTGGTGTCACCTTTGGATGCTGTCTCCAGTTCAGTTTGGTTATTCTACAGTCTGTAAATTCTTTCCCATATGGTGTAGAGCTATGATGTACTCTGGTGAGCTCAAATTTGAAAAGAGATCAACATCAGCCCAGATAGAAGGAGGAGTTCATGGACTTCATTCGTAAGAATATACATTATTAACAGTCTTTTTTTTTTTGTTTTTTTGGCAAAATTCCTAAACTTTTCTTTTTGTTGGTTCAGCTCTACCGGGTTTTATGTCTGATGAACAGCCGTATGTCCTTTTCAGTGCTCATCTTAAAGTGCCCATAATATCAGAAAATGTTTTTTGCTCATCAAATTCTACGTTTCACCAAATGAACTTTGGTGAAAAAATTTTTCGATTTGGATAAAATGCAATTTTTTTACGAATTTTTACAAAATTCAAAATTCTATTTTCTTGGGGTTGACCCCTGCTGCTGATCACAAGAGTAACATGCTCAAACTGACCATGTGACTGATGTCTGTGACGTAGGTTCAGGAACCTCACTTGACCTTAAGTTTAAAACCAGTGTTGTCACAAAGAGCTGCAAAGCACTTTTCTGGCATTTTAAACTAAATGGAGACCACTCTGAAGCAAATTCCCACTTGTTTTCAAGTCAGATAAGTCACAACCCAAAATCACGTGTTCCTGAACCTATGTCATGACTCACTTTAAACCGAGGAAGACTGGTGTGAAAGGTGGACCAAAATGGCGGTAAATTTGAATGTCTTTAAAAAATTATAAAAAAATTGCGTTGAAGCCTCTAATTGATTGGCCCATTCTTCTCCACATTGTTATCTTTACTTTTCCTATGGTAATAACATGTGAATTTTTCTGACAAGCCAGAGCTTCTGGACTAGAATTGGGGAGCATTTCCTTTATTCTAATGACCTTTATATTTGATTCAAGTGTTAAACTGTGAGTGGCTGGTAGGGTATTAAGGTTAAACCTACTTGTTCAATCAAATTTTGTTAGTCTACCAGTGATCATATCATATCAGATCAACACCTTTTTATACTGTTCACTTTTTAGGTTTGAGAAGAGACTCTTTTGAACCACAAGACTTGAAAGCCAAACACACAAAGATCATTTAATGAACCTGTACAACAATCCTCAAATAATGCCAACTAGAGATATGTAAATAGCACAAAGAAGAAAATTATTTAATTATGTTAAAGTAAGTGATCATAGTTCGTTATCATGTGCCTGATGTTTATTTTGAGAGAATTAATTTACAATATTTGATACATTGATGTACCCATCTCTTTTGTTTTGTTTTTGGCTTTTGAAAAGCTCAGTAAAATACTGCCCAATTTTCAAAGAAATCAAAAGTTATACAAGTAAACAAACCAATGTGATCAGGACTCAGACATATTTATATTTTTTACGAATAGTGTTATTCCATTCTTTGAAATTCAACATGACATTCTACAAGACAACAAAGTGTCTCTAGTTTATTCCCTGGAGACTTGTGCTAAGGTCTTCTGTTTAAACTAAATTTTGAAAATCAAACTAGGTGTATCAGGTAAGGAATAGTGGACCAGAAAGACTGGATTTGGTAAAGTAGATACCTATTTTGTTCACTGATAGTAAACACAGAAGGCTTGGAATTGTAAATACTGAAACATGTATATCGGCTCTTATTGGACAGGCTATGGTGCTTTTTAGGTTTGAAAAAGTAGTTTTCCATACCATAAACTATCTTATTGCACCACTGCAGCAGATTCTTTAACCCCTAACTGCCAGAAGTGATTAACATGTATCCCTATTTTATTTAGCAAACAGGTATTGTGAACACTCAAACAGGTAGAAGTTATTATGATCTCAAACTCAAAACTCCAAACTCTCATAAAGTTATGAAGGAGTGTGTAGCTGCAAAAAGGAGGAATTAGCAATCAGATCTTGGGAATTGAAGGGTTACAAGCTGGTCTTGGCTGGTGTTTTATCAATCCTTGTTTTCGTCCTTGAGAGATTAATTTTTTTTAACTGCAATAGTCGCTGATGCAGTCACCCCTCTCAGTTTGCTACTTGTATGATATAACTACAATTAGAGTCAATAGAATGAAAATATACTTTTTCACCAATCTCATCATTGCTCAAGTAAGAAAGAGAGAGAGAGAGAGAGAGAGAGAGAGAGAGAGAGAGAGAGAGAGAGAGAGAGAGAATCTCTACCCATTGACAAGAGTTATTTTTCATAAAAGCAAAATCTGAAATGATTGGCTGGACCCCCACTCCCTCTCTTATCCCTCCGCCTAGTTCCCAGGGCTTTGCAACATTAGCGGTAGAGAGACATTATCCTTTACTGGCTCGAAATGTCTCGTCGTTATATTTTCAGCTTGTCTGATACATTATTGAATTTACTCGTGCTCTGTTATTGGTTAGGTAACTTGTAGATTGTTGATAAAGAATAGTTATAAATTTATTTCTTGGATTATTGAAGCTGTTAGATCACTGTCGCCGCCAAATTTATCAAATAGTTAAAGGTTTTTAACTTGAAACCTTTATTTTATCGTACTTGATTACCTTAATATGCTACTTAAACGTCTTGCGAGCCAAACTATATTCTTAATGATGTATACTGATGTTGCTAATCACTGTAGAGGAATATTTTCTTGTCTTGTCTAACATTCTTATTCCACATGTCTTGTTCCTTGCGATGGTCAACAGGTGTTATTTTCGTTTAAATGATTAATAAAACTACGAAAATTGATCAAATGAAGTACAATTGTTGCAATTTGCGCTTATTTCCTCTCTCATTTGGTGGTTATTTTAACAATGCCATTTTGCAAGCAACAGCACTCCGTACCCCATCAAATGGCGTGAAACAACACGCTTCACGAACAGCTACGGCTTTCGTTAACGTAACTATATGTGGTATTTCTTGGGCGCGCTTCCTCCTTCCGTCTTTCCATTTGATGTCCCTTTGACCTCGAAAAGAGAACCCCCTCGGGCTTGTTATTCTGCGGCCGATTACTGACAATCAGGATTCTAATCTGAATTTGATGTTATTGTACTATGCCGTAGAGGTAGTAATTTAACACTGGTCTCTCCTGTTTCCAAAACAAACCTCCGGCGGTCGCAGATAACAAAAAGAGTTGGCAATCTCTGTTCATAATTGTTTGCCATTAATTGTTCATAGTTATTGCACTTCGGCATTAGGTTTCATAAGGCGGTCTCCCCTCTCGAAATACGTGGATAAGGAGCTGCTTGGTCGTTACAAGATGCCAAAGGTCGAGCAGTCTCCGGGAAAATTTTCTCCCAGATTATCAGTTCTGGCGTATTCTTCAAGCATGAGCCTGTTAACAGCTCTACAACTGACCCTTAAAAAGATTCTGTTGGTTCTAGCCTACCACCATCTCTATTCTAAGGAATCTAGGAAATATTGCCACGAAAATTCAACAGCTCGCGTTTAATGGGTTACGGGGAATAAATAAAGACATTGTAAATTACATATATGAATGTTATTTTACTACTTTTATTTATTTATTTTTAACACTACAGTCAATTAACCGTACATTATTTTGCTAGGTATTACATCTTTTCTTACTTGCCATAAATTCACAAGTTTGTTATTATTATTAAGTTTTTTAGATACACTTTAGTTTGAAGGTCCACATCAGCTTTTTAGCTCCCTTTTGTCGACCTACGTGACAAATAAAGTAGGTATGTTCTCAGTCTCACTGCTCGTTTAAAACCAAGACCGTTTAGTACCCCTCCCCTCCCAATTGCCCCGTAAACACCTCCGAGCCCACCTTCGCTACCAATCCTAAGGAGGGTCGTCTCCATGCATGCATCCCCCGTTATTCTACGTTCTCGCATTTCCATCAAAGCTTTTTCGATCTTCATTAGCAAAAACAAGATGTTTACGAGAGGAAAATAATGCTCTGGGGAGAACCTTCGCAGAAATGTGGGGGGGGGGTGGTGCGGCGATTGAATTATGAAGAACAAAGCATGAATGATGCAGATGACCCGGAAATAATTTTTCTCTGAAATCGCAAGTTTATATTTGTAGCTGACACGACCTTGAAAGGCTCCAACAAGGGGGCGGCATGAACAACAACAACAACAACGCAGTCTTTAAAATCATCCTTTTAATAATAGTCTTTCCTAGAATCATTCAAGATCCCTATTATACAGATAAGATCCTCTTGAATTATCACAGCAACTGGTAAATAACAATAATCAGTTAATAATTAACTTAGTGAAATAAATCAAGGCATGACCGTGAAACATAAAAACATATCTTTTAATGAGTCCTTCACCCTACCACTGATCTTGGCGCTGTTCAGTTCGGTTATTTTTTCACTGTTTCACACCACAGTAAGCAAACTGTTGGAAGTAACTCAGCCTCCCAAAAGTTATTGCCGTTCGATAATTTCTTTCAAACGAAGAAACCTATCCGATCTGATGTGATGCACGTTTCATTACTGTAACTGACCCATTTTTAACAAACCTTTGGCAGAAGTTCAAGTTTTTTTTAAATATTGTTTGTTCCTTTCAGCCTCCTCCATAAAAGCATTAAGTAATACATCATAGACATATTTCTTCTTTTTTTTCTTTTTTATGTCAATCAAGTCACACTGCTGACATAACAATGCATTATTAATTACAAGCTTAACTAACATACAAAACAAAGCGTCCAGTAATTCAACTTTTTTTTCCCTTAAAGTGCCTCTGTAAAATTAAATTAGATTTATTAACTGTTTCTTTTTACAACACTGAAATAGTTTTGAGTGACTTTTCGATTCTTTTTTTATGATCTCATGAAATACTGTCAACGGCCATGTTAGGCGTGTACGATAATTGATACTCAGTTTCTTTTTTTTACTGTTTGAGGTCACCTAATGGGGAGAGCAGAGATAAATTACTTGACATTATATAAAAACATCTGCCTCAGTCTGTACACAAAACTAATCTTCAGGACATCTTTTGTACAAATACACCATCCCTCAGACCTATAAAAAAAAAACAACAAACAAACAAAAGAAATCCGTTAGACCCCGTAACTAACCCCTCGACTCCCATAAGTGACCATAACAGAATTTCTCCTGAAGATATTGAAACAATAACAAGCAGGCAAGTGATGAGAATAAAGACAACTATCAATAAGGGGATCACTAGTGGATGCAGTACCAAATTCTCAGAGCTGACATGATAGAGCTTGTTAAAAAAATAGAGAAAGATGTTTGTCTTGTCACGAGCGTGGGACAAAGAAACAGTTCTGAGTTCCTATGAGGAATCGAACCTCATAAGAATTTTATGGCAGACAGTGAGTAGAATTACTAGTCATATCTTGGAAATGAAAGGGGTAACTTGCTCTTCTTACTATGCACTCCTATGAGTGAGATCAATCAAACAAACACTGTCCTTATAAAAATGCAGGCGCTCCCATGTTATTAATACTGGACTCAATACACATTTTTATAATTTAGTTTGTTCACGTTGCATACAAAGACGCTCAACACAAACGTTTTTGTTTTCCTCAAAAGACCCATAAAAACAGTAACTCTAAACACAGCAACTTTGCAAAAACAGTTCACCACAGGATGAAAAAGGGTACAGAACCCAGTGGACACAAATTTGTTTCCACTTTTGATCTACAACTTGAAAACATTGTGAAAAGGCTGCAATGGTACGTTAAAAATGTATACATATTCACGTCATGTTCCCTTTGGGGTATTCTTGACCAAACCCACAAAGTGTGGGTACCCTGTGAGCAGAGATGAAACATATCACATAAAAAAAGCAACTTACTGTTCAAATAGTATTTAATAGTTTAGAACAGTCCACAGTCTTTGAGGTTGTTTTTGATAATGACGTCAGTGACAGCATCAAACACAAACTGGATGTTGTTTGTGTCAGTGGCACATGTAAAATGTGTGTAGATCTCCTTGGTGTCTTTTCTTTTATTCAGATTTTCAAACTGAAGTTGGATGTATGCTGCAGCTTCCTCATATGTGTTTGAACCTAAAAAATGTTCAAGATATGTGTAAAATTATGAGGTGTATATTAGAAGAATCATGACAAAATATGGCCACAAGTTGAACAGAGTTTGTACTCTTACTCTTCTCAAACTTTTCAAAGAATTTTTTTTAAAAACTTTCTCTGAGAAGATAGTGAAATGTTCAAAATGTTGGAATTTCTTTCTTTGTTATACTCTCATAGAAAAATCCTTTTTAACTATGACTTTCCATGAAACACATTGAAAGTTTATTACTTGGCACTCTAAACAATTCCATGAATTTAAAGAATTACCTTGACCAGTACATATACAAACTAATTGCTTTTCTTTTTTTTACCAAACAACTCTCTATACTTTTCCACAGCTGACTAACAATTAAATGCAGCGAACAAACCATTGCATTTATATCTCTTGCTATCAACACAGAAAGTAACAGCAAGTACACTTTGGAATTGAAAGGTAATTCAGAAAGTTGTTTTGCCAGACACAATAACAAATCTTTACCCATGTATTCAGGGAAGCAGATCGTCAAAGGAGACTTGGTGATTTTCTCTGCAAACAAATCTTTCTTGTTAAGGAAGAGTATAATGGATGTGTCTGTGAACCATTTGTTGTTGCAGATGGAATCAAACAGCTTCATGCTTTCCATCATACGGTTCTGTAAAGCAGAGATCAGTATTTTCAAAAATTAAGCCTCTAGAAGTAATGCAACAGTTCTGTTGGCATCATCCTTTGATAAGCATGTGTCTACAACTAACATATTACATAAACTACAGATTAGCTCAAGAGACCCATATTCACAAAGCTGGCCAGTAACCAGATACCATAATGTTCTTCAATTGCAACATGCCCTTGTAACTACAGGGCTCTACACTAACTTTTCAACTTACTAGCTAAGTGGCTGGTGATAACTTAGATGTTACAACAATTTCAGTTTGTTTACTAGCCAAACTGGCCAGTGGAAATCAAACACCACTAGCCAAAACTAAATTTCTACTAGTCTGTGACTAGTTGGCTACCGTTAGTGCTGAGCCATGGTTCACTTCACTTCAGTCATTAGAAACTTTTTACAAGGCAAAGGTTGGTTTGAAATACGTGTAGCCACATTTCCCAGAATCATCCTTAAGATTATCTCCAACTGGACACCTATATGCATCTTAGCCCCGAACTTAAGAAAACTTCACTCCAGTTGCTTACCATTTTTTTTTTTTTTTTTTGTCCTTGGGTAAGAGATTGGAATTATTAACAAAATAACACCTCTACCTGAAACACTTCCTCATCTTTGTTGCCTCTTTGTTGACTAATGTATTGAGTTTTAAACAAAGTTAACATGTTTATCACAACCAGATGTTTGAGCAGAATAATAAACTACACTAACAACACAAAATAATCTCCTCACCATTTCCTCATCTTCAGCCAGAACCAAATCATATGCACTCAGCGCCACACAGAAAATGATAGCAGTGACTCCTTCAAAGCAGTGAATCCACTTCTTCCGCTCAGATCTCTGTCCTCCAACATCAAACATTCTGCAATGCAACACAAAAATTAGAAAAATTGAGATCATTGACTCTGCTGAAAGAAAAATTCAAGAAATTTTGCTGACCATACATTTGATGACCTATTAACTAACTACCACAAGTACTTTAGAAATCTTATTGGATGAATCAAACATCAAAATCGCACCATGAACAATCTCTAGTTCTTTGTTCACAATGTTGATAGATCAAGAGATTTTTCTATTGATCACTTG